TTTTTTTTTTTTTTTTTCAATTAATCTAATTTAGACGATTTTGTTAAATTATTAATATATTTGCAGGGTTCATCTCGATCCTTTTTCTAAAGTCGATTGTTGTCTAATATAACAAATATACCTCTGAGATTCAATTTGTGATAGACATGCAGAGGGCCAGTTTGATCACATATCTGAAATATGATCTTGGAATTTCTTAATTCAAATCACTCGTGAGTAATGCGAACATCGGCCACTCAAGACATAGGTGAATTCGAGAAGAGACTACTCTCAACTCAGCTAAGAGGTCTTGCAAATGCTTGATTTCCCATTCCATCAGGTGGAATTTTCGAACCGGAGATCATAAAAAACAATAGGGAAAAGCAAGCACAACTACCAGCTAGAGGTCCAGAATATCTCATAGGAAAACAATGTATTCAATGAGGAAAAAGAAAGAAAAAGACAACAAAAACGAAAGCTAAAATGCAAAGAAAAATCGATAACTTAAAATTAGTTCAGATATATTATAGGTACCAACAATTCAACACCGAAACCTTCCAACACGTTCCTACCAAATCAACAACAGTTCAACACCAAAACATTCCAGCACGTTCCTACCAAATCAGCATCGGTGCATTCCAACACATTCCAACAAAATCAACAACAGGACTATAAATACAATCACAAACTGTTCAGAAACAGCGACAAAGCAGACAAAAAGATAAAAGTAAAAGCAATACGCATATCCATCTATGGAGTGGAGCAGCTCTGAACATACGGGAATACACGCATAAGACCCGAATCATCATGGATGCCCAAATACTCCGAGTGCCGCGTCGCACAATTGTAATACACTAAGTCATCGTTGGCATCCAGAAGCAATGCTTTGTCATTCATGTAGAGGCCGACGACTCTATAGAGAGGATAAATACCCGGGGATTTCGGAGCATGAGTCGCCTCGCAAGACCAGGTACTCCCATTCCATACCCAAATCTCAAACAAAGGGCTCCAACCAGGTTTGCCGTTATGCTTAAAGTCGTAAATGATACAGGCGAGCGAGCCATGGAACTCTCCAAGAAGTAATTCAGCGGTTTCTAAGTTCCCAATCTTATCACCCTTGGGGAGAGTGATAAGAGAAGAAGAAAACTCCTCTTTGAGAAAATCAAAGGAATAAGCAACATAACCAAAAATGCAGACCATATATCCCTAATTACTTCTCTTTTGCTTAAATTTTTTTACCATAAACACACACCTAAAATACGACGCCCCGAAATTCCAACTTTCTTCCTTTACTCAGCCGTCAAAACAATCTGTACCAAAAAGATGACCACGTTGAGCGACAAGCTGCGGTCGTGATGGCGACAACTATCACACTCGGCTCGTGAGCGGCGAATGACTTGCCGACAGAGATTGGCTGCCTCAATCTAAGGTCCTTGATGTGCCCTTTTTCTGGTTTAGGGTTTATTGTACTTTTTTAGAGCGGCTACGAACAGCAAACCAATCTCATAGATGGTATTATTTTTTATTATTGTTATGGTGATTCCTTGTAAAGTTAATTATTGTTACGATGATTATTGGTATGTTGATTTTTTGTTGTTTTGACATTCAATATATATATATATATATAAAATATTATGTTCATATTATTTTAATATTATGTTCATATTATTTTATTGTTAATGGAAGGTTATTTTTAGGTAGCTTTACAATTGTCACAGTGTTATTTTGTTGTTACTTATTTGTTGTGATTTGTAAATTATATTATTAATTTTTAAGTTGAAATAACAAATATTTTGTGATATTTTGTAGTTAATTTAATTGTTTTTTTAATATATAAATGATCTAATTGATCCATCTCTATCAATTAGTTATGTAAATAAATTATCCGATATTTTAATTATCGCGACTGGAGGACTTCAGAGACTTCGATATTTTATTTCTATATAAGTAAAATGTATAATTGGTTAAATAAATAAACTTTAGAACTTACACTTTCATGGAGTACGTGATTAATGGGGTGACATAAAATGAGAATTTAATATTTATTAGTACTAAATAATATAAAAAGGACAATGGAGAGAATATAAGGATGGGAAACGGTCGGTTGGTTGGGAACCATTTGGACGAGATGGTATATTTTTGGAATTCTATCCCATATCTATACTTTATGTAATGTTGTTCTTGAAAGAGCTCAGTTGCGTCTTTTTGCCGTTTTTAGTATACAAACTATATTAAAATCTTTTAACTATGGGCCCAAGTGCAGTCTGGACGGCCCAAGCCAAGGCTAATGTGTGCCACAAAAATTTTATTGAGGAAGGATATAGGTACATAATAGTCTT